GATGACTAGCCTACCCTTGTAAGTAAAGCCATGTTATACTATGATTTTGTCTGCTCGTCCCAGTACTCAGCTTGGTTATCAACCACTTGATTGGGTATATATTTCATGAGTGAATGCCATATGGATGACAAACTCTTGAAAATCAGTCACCAAATTGGCAACCACTACCTACTTAGAGAATTAGTGAGGGTTAAGATTTCTTAATAAGATAAATCTGCAACAAACTTCCTTGCTACATTTGTTTCAATTCTGAAAAGCAGCACATGCACATTCAACAACTGTGCAAATTCACAGGACACCATCTTAGATTTAAGTACCTATTAAGACCCATTCAGTGTCCTTTTTAGATCAAAGGCAGCAAATGGCAAACTAAGATAAGAACCATTTTGCAGCTTGAAAAAAAGACTCTTTTATAAAATCTTGTTACTTCTAGACTATAAAATTAAGATGTAGTAAGATAATTGCATTAGTTTCAGATTTTGCTTTTTTGGATTTGTTGGAAATGTTTCTTCTGACAATATACTCATGACTCACTTTCAATTGAATAAACCGAACAATTTTAATCCGACTTCTCTAAGTTTTCCAACTTCCTCTCTCCATGTGCTTTTTTCTCTTAATGTTTTTTCTTCTGTTCCCAGCCTCTGTGGCTATCGTAGCTAGGGATGCCTGACTAATCTTACGATTAAGCATAAACAAACAAATCAATATGGCTTAAACTTAACACAATCTCGACAGATTTTTGGCAGATTCATTCAAATAAATGATCAATAACAAAGTGCTTGCAGAACATCCTTGAAAAGTTCTGGGAAACAGCTTTGCCTAGAATTTTCTTTACTCAATTTAAAAGCCCAGCACATTTATTTTCAGCAACCATTCAATAAATGATTGCAATAACAAAGGCATTCTCAGTAAAATGTAGTTTTGATTACACCATGATGGCTGCTAAAAACATATAGTAATTATCATGGTCTGTTCATGCTTTAAATCTTCATTTCGTATTTCATGGTTTTAGAGAGGCTTTTATCATCCTGCTGGATAAAGAAAAATTATTACCAAACAAAGAGCGACTATAAATGTGAGAGAACATTTCAACCCACTTGTTAACAACATGACTTAGTTATTACTTGACATCAATTTTCAACAGAGTAATGGCTTGGTGTTGAACATGTAAAAATTTGTTTAAGTAGGTGAGTTTGTTCCATGGTGACTGTACAATCCAAGAGCAATTTATCATTGAATAAAAAAATGTCTTTAAGATTCTTTGATTTGTATTACTGTTAGGCAAATACAATGTTTTTGCTTACATAATTTTGGAGGTCTTTCTAGTACACTTTCTCTTAAAATAAAAAATGGCAACAAACTTTTGGAATTCAATACCAATTTGAAATATTTAGGAATCAAGTGGCTACCAAAAAAAGAAAACACTATTCACATTAATTGCCATCTGGTGTCAAACATTGCCTCTTTTTTTTGTATCTTAGATAATGATGATGATATGGCTCCATAACAAGGATTTCTCTATAAAGCTGTATAAAGTGTTTTTCTTTCCACTCTATGCCCCTTAGAAACAAACAAATAGTAATACTGCTAAGGACTTACTTTACGGTCAAACTTTCAAAACTGTGAACACCTAAAATATGCCTGGAATGTTGGTTGTCTTGTAACCAATAACAAACAAGATCTTGAGACCACAGAAATCACAGACACCAAATGGGTTGCCATCCACCACAAAACCAATTTTGTGACCACTTTGTTTCAAATCTGTCTTATTATACAGGAGATGCCAGTAAGATTGCCAGTCCTTGCTATTTGCAAGCCACACATACTGCTTGGGCAAAGAAAGTTTGAGTGATTTCTAAACATAGATAAAAAATTGACAGGTGGATGCAACTAGCCAATGTGACCATTCGACCTGCGACTAAAATCGCTGAGGCACATATCTTCAAAATTGTAACCATCTTGTAGATCCAAGGTATCAGCTTGTCAATTTTTCTTCTTTATTTCAATCCCTTGGCTTACTAGTATGTGTATAAAAACAAGTGAACGACTGCTCTTAAGGGAGGAAGGGCTGTTATTTTGATAACTGCAAAAGGTGAAGACGGATATCACTAAAATTGGAATTTTGTAATGCCTAAAAATAAGCGAATTGAGTGCAAATTCTGCTTGGCTGTTCCTTTTATAAAGCCACTCACATTTCTCCTAACTTTGCAAGTATTACCCAATTACAAACTAACCAAATAACTGCACTATAAACCACTACAAGAAAATGGACTGAAATGATATTTTAGGTGGAATAGCAAAAATCAGGTTGTGCCACGACTCTGCATTATTTGTCACCCACCTTCTAACCACCCAAGAGACGGCAATTATTTCCTAAAGTAAATAAACCAAATTCTTTACCCAACCAAAAATAACAACAATGTTCCTGGTGACAAAAACACCAGAATTTCAGGGGGTGTTTATCATCTTTTCATCTTATCCTGTAAATCAAATCAACCACGTAAAAAATGTTGCATTGCTAACATGTAACCACTGCAACCACTTTTTCAAATTCTTCATTTCCTTTTTCTGCATACCTAAAATCCCTCACATTGGTTTTGGCTCCCCATACAAAGGAATAGAAATTATCTTAATTTGTCTAAGAGAAGACAGAAGGTGTTTTGAAACCATCTTGAAACAAACTGGTTTCGTGACTGATGAAACCCATTCAGTGTCTGTGGTTTCTGTGCTCTCAAGATCCTGTTGGTGATTGGTTACAAGACAATCAACATTCCAGGCATATTTTAGGCGTTCACAGTTTTGTAAGTTTGACCGTAATCAACCACAACAGGTTATGATGTTAAATCTTTCAACCTGGTTCATTTCCATAGTGAAAAGCTGGAATACAGGAATGAGCCAAGCTTTCAATTTGCTTTGCTCCTCCATGGAAACAAAATATATCAAACAAGTTTTGGATGTTTTTATCATAAAACAAGACAAATAGGTTGAGAGACAACCTGGGAAAAATAACTTCTTTCAGGAAATAGATTTTGAGGCTAAATTTACTCACCCTCACTCCAACATAGCAACAACGAGGTTTTCATGTTTTAGATAACCTGTGAATAATGGGCCAAGCATGCACCATAGACTATGGGTCGTTGTCCTTGTCGCTGTTGTTGATGCTTAAGGTCGATAATGGCTCATTATTGACTGACCAATTATTTTTTTATTAACACAAATTATTCTTTGAGTCTATTCAAGCATCCCATTACTGTCAAACCTGTACAAGTGGCTGTCTCTGTTATATCTACCCAGTCAATTTCGTGTCAAAATTTTGCCTGAAACTCTGTCAAATGAAAGACTTTACTTAGGAAAGAACTAAATTAGATTTGGTTTGATTTGAAATAATTTTCTGACTGCATTAGGGGCCATAATTATTTCCCTAGTCCGTAGGGTGATAAATTGCCATCAGCCAACGGCCATAAATAACTTTGACGTTAAGTTTTGGGATTTGGAACCTGATTGACACCTCTTTCCTGCACAGCCATTAAATTTAGACCTTTATAGGCAAATACATGCAAAAACACCTGTATGTTTTTATCTTTTCAAAAGTTATGAGCATTTGAATCAACACATGTACAAACATTTGCAATGGTTAATGCCGACCTCTGAGAAGGCAGTACACTGCTGTGTACAGTAGTATGATCATTCAGCTGCAAATTCTGAATTGTAGCCCTCAAATGTCGACTTGTAGACTTGTGAAGTTCAATAACTGATTCTATAAGAAAATGCAGCTGCAATCCAAAGTTTCCACTAGACATAAAATGCAAAACATGGCTGTAATTTTGAATTTAGTTTGCAACAGTGAGTTACAGAAGAGTGCTGACCGCTTAAGTTTGGAGTTATTTGTTGGAGTTATCATTAAGTTCACCAGTTTGTGGAGCAAGGAATGTTTGAAATTTCATGAAAACCCAAGATGTATTGAAGGTAAGCTGTATTTATGGTGAGATGTGCTCTAGGGGTTTGATTTCGGTGTAGGCAGAAAAATCGCAAATGCTTGTACATGTGCTGATTCAAATGCTCATAACTTCTAAAAAGTCAAACATACAGGGGTTTTTGCATGTATTTGCCTATAAAGGTCCCAACTTAATGGCTATGTAGGAAAGAGTTATCAATCAGGTCCCAAATCCCAAAACTTCACACCTAAATCAAGGTTATTTACGGCCATTGGCTGATGATGATTTACAGGCTAGGGGTCAGAATATGTTAAAATTCACCTTTTCAAATATATTGAGAGGGAAATCCTAACTATCTTGGCAGACTAGAAAGGTTGTTAAGCAATCTGACATAAACTTGGTGGCTTAACTATGCGAATCAAATATTCTATAATGTTACAAAATATACCCATTTTTCAATTTTCAAGATGTTGCAATGGTTCCTACGGACTGGGGAAATAATTATGGCCCGTAATGTAGTCAGAAAATTATTTCAAATCAAACCAAATCTAATTTAGTTCCTCCTTAAGTAAAGTCTTTCATTTGACAGCGTTTCAGGCAAAAGTATTCTTGATGCAAAATTGACCGGGTGGAAATAAGAGACAGCCTCTTAAGCTGTTACCCATGGGGAATGGAGGGTGACCATTTAAAACAAGTTCTAAAGAATGGGGATAATACAAAAAACGCCATTTTATACTACAATTGACCACTTATTACGAAAAAAAAATTGCTCAAATATTCTACTAACATTGAGAGAAATATGGATTGCACTTGACGTGAAAGATCATTCTTACTGGTAGTATTATTCAAGAACGGTAGTTCCGTTTTTAGTGACAGCTCAATACAGGTGGAAGACAATACAAACAGGCCATTGCAACTCATTCGAAGGTGACTGCTACAGTTTTACAGAGCTGACTGTTTAATAGGGGTGAAAACTACAGGGAAACAAATTGCCTAATGCAAGATGACGGCTCAATAAATTGCCGCTTAATAATACAGGTTCAATTGTATTTAAACATTCAAGTTATGCTCAATCGGGTGTAACACTTAACATGCAAATTACACCACCATTCATGCATCAAGTGTTTGACAAAGTTGATTATAAACTCTAACAGAAATTATTAGGCTAAGCATAGCTGTTGAGCTGTACATTTTAAGTTGTTAGCAGTATAGCTAACTTTACCTTTGTGTTACAGTGATATCAAATAATTTCCCATGTCATGTTGGATATACCAATGCAGTGCTGAGTGTCATATGTGCATGACCTTGCATTATATTTTTATGGAACAAGAAGGAAAAAGGAAAGGTAAACAGTGTATTTTAAAACTTTCTAAACTTCTGGTAACAATTTTTGGATCAAGAGCATTACAAATAGCTGTGTTTGTCGAAGGTTGATTAAAAATGGGGCAGTCTACTGATAATCAACTCACATTCAACTGTCCATAGACCAATTAACAATTATTCTACAAAGGGGAGCCAAATACAAATGCATTATTGACCAAGCATGAGGTCAAGATGGCTTGATATTAGCCTTATTTTAGCAAACATGCGAACATACATGCCTTGATGATCCGGTAACTGCATCGAAACTGAAAGAACTGTGTGTAGTTCTAAAAGTCCTTTTATGGAAAAATATACATTCTTGAAGTTTACAAAGGTTTATACACTCTTAAGTAGCCCAAACTGCAAGGTATTCACATGAAAGGGCCAACAGTTGGCTGACTGTTGGCCTTCTGTCTGCCATCTGTCAGTTAACTATCAGTTGACCGTCAGCTGTTTGTGGGCTAACTGATGGCTAACAGTAGAACTGTCGGTAGAGTGTTGATAAAACTATCAGCCAACTATTGCTTGCCTTTTGACCAACCATCAACCAATGCATTAATAAACTGCTTGCTAATATATCAACTGCCTTACTCACCTAGGCTAACTATAGTCTACATGGTCCAAACTTTTTCAGCAAGGCAACCATTTACTGTACTCATGGCAGCAATAATTAAGAATACTTGTACAAACCTGTGATTCACTTAAGCGCTCATTATCTACGGGGCATTTAGGACCAGCATCTCTAAAAATGGTAAAGAAAAACAGTGCTATAAAAGAGAATACAAATTGTCAAACATTAAAATAATAAAAATGCATCTACCTTAAAACAAACTCAAAATATTAATCAAAATGAAATAAAATGTTTAAAATTGATCTTACTTTTACTCAGCTTGTAAATTATAACTGTCAGGGATTTTCAAAACAAAAGTCGAGTATTTCTATCTGATTGCAAAAATGCAACCCCCACACCTGGTTAATTCCCCTAGTAAATATTTCACCATAATTGACAACATTTAGACCTAGCAGGAAGCATATGGATCATATACACAAAATAGAAATTTATTTTTATTTTGGGTAAGAATGAAAATGAAACCAAAAAAATTATAATCAGCTCTTTCACTTTCAAAGGAAATTCCCCCCTCAAAAAAAGATGCAAAAACTGTGAACTGTAAACACTTACTAACCTTAAATGACAACACTCTTAATACGTTACAAAAGATAAAAATGTATCTGCAAATGAGCTACTGCAGCAAGCAGCCCTGCACTAGCCTCCAGAACATATCCTTTGAATGCTATTTCATGTTGACATCAAGGACTGCTGTCGCTGTTGTGTGACATATAATGAGCATTTGGTATTAAGTGATTAGTGGATCAATATGTATCAACCGCCACACTGCTCCTTAGAGTTTGTTAGATTTCCAAACCTTCCACCCCAATTGTATTAATCAGAACAATAAAGGTCTACACACGCATGCGTTACAAAGATGCCTTTTAAGTTGAACCACTGTGATGAGTAAATCATCAAGAGAAGGTATAAAGGTCCTTCGAGGAGCTCACACAAGAACCACAGGTAACATTGTAGTCTGTGTATGGAGAGAAGGTGTTAGTTTCAAAGTTTTCGGTAAATGTAAGGTACTTGTAGAGCAAACCACAATGTATGAGACATGTTTGCTGAATTGATCACAACTAAGATTAAGACATGGCATCATTGCTGATACATTTGGCGCTCAAAAAACTGCTCAACCTCGTGTAACCCATAAGGTAACCCAGATTTCATTTCCTTATCAATAATTTTAGCTCTAAGGCGCCGAGGATAAATTTGTAAAACTTCGATAGACCTTACCGTATGGACCGAACTATACAGCCTTTACAGAACCTGTGACCACAGCTTGTCTGCACTGGTTCTCGCAGTCCCAAAAGACAGATAGGACACTCATACTTGCTTTCCAAAGGTGGATCAAAATACTCATCATATCCCTCAGACCTTGGTTCAACTTCGACTGATGGATACCTGAATTCGGTTGCTGCTACTTCAAAACTTGGCTCAAAAGAGCTATCACGAAGGAATAGAGGATGCTGCTCCTCTAAACGAAAGCCACGATTCATAGTTCTATGTCCATTGTGTTCAGTTAAAAAGTTTGAAATTTGCTCGACCAAGCTTTTAAATCGAAAAGTCGAAGGGACAGTCCCCTACCCCACAATGCTTAGCAATCTGAGCGTGAATCAACGTTAACGTCATCAATCAAGCGGAGCTCTGAAATAAATAAATGAATAAATGAATAAATAAGAAGAAATTAAAGCACATGAACAGAAAAAAAACAAAACAAAACAAAACAAAACAAAACAAAACAAAACAAAAAAAAAGCACAGGACAGTAATTTTCATTCCAGCAAGCATACGCTATTCCCCCTCCCCCCCTCAGGTTATCTAATAACGTGAAGTCAGCGCCCCGTCATCGACAGGTTATACAATCTATTAAAGCTGAAAGAAAAAACAAATTTCAGTTTCGAACTTTATGCCCTCGCCTTTTGAGTCCCTACTTAAATAGGAAGATGACATGGTTTATGTTTAGATTGAATAACGGGGTAATCACTGCCAGGTGCGCAGTGTAGTCTCGGCGCACAAGGCATCCTTGGGACAACACTTTGAACCTAGGACGAAGGACGTTAGGGTAAGTCGCTTTGAGTCATTTGTGTTGACTATTCATCAATTGCAAGTTAAATCAACAGAAAATGTTTTGAAGCACAGTTTTAAAATACAGGCCCAAAACGTTCATCCTAAACGTTGATTACTCGGGAACAAATCGACGGACTTAATCAACAAACTTGGATCGTCAGACTCGTTAGCAGCCACAAATCAGGAAAGGCAGTAATCTTTTCAGCCTGCAAAGGCTAGCTAGATCATTACCTAACTTTCCAGGTGAGATCATTACCTAATTTTCCAGATGGAAATTTCATATCAAACGTTCTTTGACTTGACAGCACAGTTTTCACAGAAGCTGAGCGTTAGTTATTACTGTCTTTATTTCTAGGTCCTCGATTCAGTCAAGAAACAATTTGTTGGTGAGTTGTACGCCCATCTTTGTTAGATGAAAGAGTTGTTTTTAAGATCAGTATGCTGCCCTCGAAAAATAGATTTAGTGTCGTGTCGAAAGACGTTTCACGATTCGTGTGCACTGGATTGCTTCATGGAAGTAGGAATATAATTATTTATTTGTGCCACATGTATCAAATTTATTTGTAAAGAATGAATTAACTTCAATCTTTGATTTTCGATGTATGTTCAGATTAAAAACTTGCGTTTCAGTCGTTGACTGCTGTGTTCATAAATATGTCTCAAACCAACTCGCTATGATAACCCCAATCCATCCGAGAGTTTTGCGGTTTCTAAAATAGCTTTGCCCTGCTCTTTCATCCCAACAAGGCCTACTGTAATTTGCGAAATGAAACAGAACGAAGCGAAATGAAAATCTGTAATTTGCGAAAAAGAAATCAAGAAATATCACAGACCTTGGGTCAGTTCCATTTTCCCAGCAAACGTGATAGTTTATATGGAAACATGCTGCGACATCTTCCACATGTTTTTTCGCTCGGGGAAGTGTGATGTCACTCGTTTTTATTATTCATCGACTGGGGTTTTGTTAGTTGATGCTCAAAAGCGTGTACTTCATTCTCTCACGTGCATTTGGTTTTGAGGTTTTGAAACTTCCTTCCTTATATCAAAATTTTTCCAGACAGGAAAAATTTCCAACATTCCTTCACGCGATCATAGTTATTGAAGCCTTTGCTTTGTTATCTTGTGCATAGGTAGAAAGTAATTGCTATAAATTATTTTCTTATTTCATCCCAAGTCCATTTTTGTGTGACTTGTTTCATAAAACAAGACACTCCGCGTTGCAGGATACTCCACCATTCCACCGCTCCACTGTTCCATCATTCCATCGAATAAGGGTCACCTTGTTAAACTCGAAGTGTTGCTTCCTTGGCAAATTTATCCGCACTTTTGAGCATTAGTCGGTGATTGAAGAGGTGAAATGCTATCTTTTCGAATAGTTAAAATTTATAAAAGTTTCCACAACATGCGGATCAAACCTATTATTTCTGCTAAGAAAAGCCGCCTTTTTTTTCAATTAAGTGTCTGTGACGCTACCGTGAAATTATTTTGAGATGTTTATCATCTTTTTGTGGGGTCACGGTGAGAACTGAAAAAATATATCTCCAGGTCTACAGGGCGTGATTTGCTGATTCAAATGGTAAAATTCTCGACCTTCAAAGAAAAAATATTTCTTCTAAGTTTTCATGATTCTGCAAGGTAAAGCTTTGTTTTTTCACGCGCAATCGTGAAATGATTGTGAGATGTTGACCGTCTTCTTTAGTTTTCCGAGATAAGCAAAGAACGAGGAAAATAAAACTCGGCAGACTTCGACAGAGGTCGTTCGTATTCTACACTCACCCACTGAACAGGACAACATCGTGGCTTCGCCTCCATACAGGAGGCAGTAGCCTCGAAAATTATTTGAACTTTAAGATCTAACCTTTCATATGATACAAGTTTCGTTAGGTTTGATAACGAACTGTGATTGCAAGAACGAAACTCGTGTTAAAAGGTCACGTCGTCATTCTTTGTGCTTATGCACTTAACTCAAAAAAGGACGCCAAGTCCATTTTTGTTAACTTCGCGGTATTTGTACGCCCTTTTGATGTCGCAATATACGACTTTTATCTTAGCTTTCAATCGGATGTGAGTTTCGTTCGGTTTCATAAACATCTGCGAAAACCACTCTGGGATTCCCCATACGGAGACTGATCAATTTTTGTGATATCAACATGCTAAAATGTAGTAGCATGTAAACGTGTTCTTTCGGTGAAGGGCAAAACGTAATACTAAATAGATTATCATTGTTATGTCTGAGAAAACAGTTCCATGCATAATTTCTCATTGTTTGATTGGAACGTTTGGTGAAGCACTGCACTCGCCTTAGTATTGACAAGTGTACCAGAGTTTTGACCGACTCCTACCCCTCTTAGTTTGTGACATTTGCGAGTACTACCAAATAAGGTAATGAACATGTACGAGCAAAATCAGACAATAAGTCATCTTAGTAAGTTATTATGTGGCGAATAAACAAGAAAACGAAGAAGAATCCGTGAGTTCTGTGTACCATCTTAAAGAATGGCTCATTAGCGAAAAAACTACTATAGGCGGTTTGCAACCAATCTCTTGAGACACAGGTAACAATGGTGAAAGGAAAAAATGCTGGTGGACGAACAAAAGAAGCCAATGAGGTATCTTTTGTTTACGTCCACCAGTACAAACCACCTATGCGATTTCTGGACTTTGCAGTAAAGTTACTGAAGCTAAAGGATGTATTTTGAGGGGAATCCGAAGGGCATGTCGGGCAATTTGAGCATTTGTTAACTGATCAATCGTCGCCACAAAATTAGGGAAATTTAACAGCCAAAATTTCGTTCGGCGTTTTGGGAAATATCAAAAAGTTTTATCTAAATTGCGGTACACCTGGCCCACTCAGTGCATATAATGATTAACAATGGCTTCTATGGTCTCATGCCTCGTTATCCAGACGCTAGCGATATATGCAAATGAGTGGGCGGGAAACTGTTAAGTAGTAACCAGAAATGAAAATATCATAAAAACTGACCAACTGTGAAGCCATTCTCTTGAGATGGTCAAGGACTGTAGACCATCTTACTTTTCTTTAGTTTGGTAAAGGACTGTAGATGGTAAAGGACTGTAGACCATCTTACTTTTCTTAGTCGCTACGCTTTGGATCAGATCTTATTCCTCCCTCGAATTATGCCAGGATCATTGGTGTAATTTTCGATACCACCATGTCCACGATGCCTATGTTGATTCATTGAAGCTGCTTTTTATCATTCACGTAATAGCGCCCCCATAAGTAAGTACCTATCGTCTACGGCTACAGAAATACTTATACACACTAGGCCTCATCACTGTAACCTTCCTCTGTACGGTGTCCCAAAGTATGTTCTTACGCTGGTTCTTCAGAAACTCCAAGTCTTCGAAACGCTGCTGTCCATGTCTCATCTGACTCTTAAGTCTATGATTGCATAACGCTGACCCTTATTAAATTTCTATGGTTACCTTTTGCTAACGCTTCAAATTCAAGATACTTTTGCTAGCCTTCAAGGCCTTTTATGATAAATCTTCCAGTTATATTTAAGATCCTTACTTAACCCCACGATCGTTATCTGGCCCTCTTTCAATACGTATTAATTTTAACCTTAAATCGTGCGTAATAGGATCCCTAGCTGTCGCTGCTTTAAAGTAATGAAACAATTTAACTTTACATTTACGATTACGTTCTAGCATTTCTTCTTTTGAATCTAACACTAATACTTGTCTTTTTAAATCTGCTTTCAATTTCGGTTAAGAATTCTTTGGTTTTATGTTTTTGACCTATCTGCCGTCATTAAGCGGTGCTGAATAGATGCGTAATATCATTATGAGTACAAGTCGAGAAAATGCACCTTCAAAACTTGGCGCAGATGGGCCATAATGAACAAAGAGAAAAGGCTGTACCTCTTTACGAAAGTCACGATTGACATGGCTCGCGTTTCCCTCAGGATTACTAAGGGTAAATGTTGTTCTTGTGCTCTTCTGTCTCTGAAAACGCGATTGAATGAAAGGCTTGATCTAGGGGAGTCCTATATCCTATAGACCCATTTCAAGCGTGACGTCACATCACGTGACATTGCGAACTGGAGGACAAGCTTCAGTTTGTTTACAGCATGGCGGCGAAAGCGACTACGAAGCGTGGGTTGTTACCCGGTTATTTTGAAAATCTACAGCAGAAAGAATCAAAGGAAAGATATCTCGAAAAGTTAAAGTCTATCGAAGGACAAGATCCTTACGAAATTCCGCGCAAAGAGTGGATTGACGATGTCGATTGCTGGCCAGACGTAACGTACATAAACGTGGGGATGTATCTTCTGTTTGCTGCTAGCCCGTACACCCAGGAGCAATTGATGAGCTATAAAAGCTTAGACTGCTATCAGAACTTTGCGAACGGCTGGGTAAGGGAAGTTATGTGCAAGAAATTCGGCGAAAATCGCCTGTTAATAGCAAAGGTAAGTTTTCATAACGTCTTGTTAAAGAGTGTTTACACTCGTAAATGATGGATCAAGCTGTTCTCGCGCCGATCGTTGATTCTTTACAGTATAG